AAACGCCCCCCCCCCCCCCAGTGAGCAGAAGCCAATGATTATAACTCGCCCACGCGGGCGAAAGCAAGCAAGCAAGCGGGCAAAGCGAAAAGCCGTTACGTTCCCAGCCGTGTAAATGCAGCTGGATACTACAAGGCTAAGCCTGAGATAGTGCACAGTAGCTGGGCAGGGAAGAGCTGAGAACGAGGAGAAGCAGGGCTATTTTTGGGCAGGAACACACAGGAACGGAGTTCCGGCTGGCTCCCAAGTTGGCCACGCCCAGCAGGAACTCATTAGCATAATAGGCCACACCCAACAGCAGAAACTCATTCGGATTGGCTACAATTAGGGGTGTGTGGCCTAACATGCAAAAAGGCCCTGGGTTTTGACAACAAACAAGGTAAAGAGAATAAGAAGCAAAAGGTGGGTGTGGCTGAATTGACCACACTTCTGGCAACATGGGGGTGTGGCCTAATAGGCTAATGAGCTGTGTTGTCAGGGGTGTGGCCTATTATGCTAATGAGTTCCTGCTGGGCTTTTTCTACAAAAAAAGCCCTGAGGGGAAGAATACCCCCTCCACATTCCAGATCCATGACAGGGCTACCTGACAGTATCCCCCATCCAGTATTTGTGGCTTGTGGTTCTTCTGTGGACCGTGGCCGCATTAGTTACCCAGTTCTGCAAGTCAGAGATGCCCCTGAAGAGGATCTTTGGACCCTGGCTCGGGGTCAGTGTCCTCTTGGGATCCTCCACACTTCTCTGCATCTCCCCGTGTGCCTCTCTAGCCCTTCCGTCCAGCAGTGGGGAAGTCTCTGACTGGCCGTTTCTGCTTCTAGGAACAAACCGGTGCCCCCTTGGAAGTATGTGCGAGCCGTGGCCGCTCGTCTTCCCTGAGCCCAAAGACCTCTGCGAGAAGATCTGGAGCAACTCCTACCAGTACACCCCCTTCCAGAGGGGCAGCGGCCGCTGCATCCAGATGTGGTTCGACCCCAAGGAGGGCAACCCCAATGCAGAGGTGGCCAAGTATTACTCCAGAGCAGGGCGTGGCGGGGCTGCCCGTCTGCCCCTGGCCTTGCTCCTTCCCGCGCTCCTCGTCCTGCGGACAGTGTAGCAAGACGGACTCGCTGCTCTTCAGACGCCCGCTTGGAAAGTATTGCCGACATCCTTTGCAACTGGTATCCACCTCCTCTGGTGCAGCGCAGGATCTGAGCCATCACGGGGGTGGGGGACATTCTTTTGTAGGCTTCCCAGGGGCCGGACCCTGCTGGTCCAGAGCTCGGGAAGGATCCCGAAACCTGCGTGTGTAAATACCTCTCTCCTCCTACTTACCTTTGGCCTTGTTACCTTCTGCATATTTTCCCCTCCAAACTGTCCAGGCCGGGGCTTTTGATGGGAAACACCTCTGATACCTCGGTGAACCGCACTCGTGACAGGGCCAACGGCTGGATCCTCATGTGCCTCTCAGGTATAGGGATGAGAAGGAACCAACCTCAGGTCCAAGGCGAGGTAACCGATATTTGGAGATTAGGGACGGAGCCGCTCCTCAGCTGCCAAAGGTGAAACTTTTCAGCCTCGGAACTAGAAAGAGAAACTTGTCAGAAGGGATGAGGGGAGCTCCACCAGTCAGTGATATCTTTTGTTTGAGGTTTTCGCACCTTTATGCGTGTCTCCCCCTCTCCCCCTTCAGGCTGCTTCGGTGGCCGGCTGGGAGACTTCTTCAAAGGCGGTGGCTGCGATACTCAGGGAATCTTTACTTCCAAATCCTGCTTAGATTTCTGCTTAGGGTGATGCGGCTTTTGGGTACAGGGAGAGCCGTTCTT